TGGCAGAAATTTAATGCAGAATAATTCTCATTATGTTTTAACAAGTTCATTTCATCTAAATTGTATGAATTATAGTTTTCTTTAACCCAGAAAAGACCCTTTATATTCAAATACTTTATATTTACATCGAGGGGGGTCCTCTCTACGGAGGCTTCCATGTTTTTTTACATTAGTCCAGACTGGACAAACTAAACACCTTTTGAGTTTTTATGACAACTGAAGCTACCACAGGCTCTCTGTCATGTTTGGAAGGAGAGGGTGAGATGAGAGGTATTCAGCTGCAACATGCAATTTCAACACTAGATATCACAAAATTCTACACACTGTACCTTTAACCTCCTACACTAACTGGTACGAATGTGTGCTAAGATGCATCTGGTACTTTATATTGAAGAAGTCACACTGCAAATGAACTAAAACCAATGAGAAGGAAAAACAAAGGAATTACTGATGCAAACCCAAAACACTATAAAATGGTCTTTGATGATGATCAGAGTGACCAGAGACTGAATCTTTTAGTTTTTGTCTGTATTAATAAGACAGTGTACGCATGAAGTGAGGAAGACATGCAGCAAAGGTTGGAACCAAACTTGAGGCTGGTGCAGGAGGGCTCAAGCCTCCTCCATTTGTGGGGAACCCACTTTACAAAGTGCTAGCCTTAGTAGGAGTATGTGATGTCAGTCTCAGGCATCTGGCCCAGTTTTATGGTGCTTTGTATTTTCAGTATCTGGCGTCCAGCGACCGTGAATATGTGGACCTTTCAGCCATGGCCCTTGAACTTCAGAAGTTACACAGGTAAGTTCTACAGAACACTTACCAAAGCTTACCTATGTCTGTTCAGGAAAATATCCATTAAATCAACACCTCTACCATCATTGACATGCATCAGGCTAAACCCCTCTCCGTATAAAATAATTTTTAAACCTCACAAACTACAGACCTCAAAATGAGAATAAAGTGACCACTGTACACCTCTCTTATGAATTTAGTTAGTTTGTAATGATGTGAATGTAATTTTGGTGCTAAAGATACTATGGTGTGTGTATTATAGAATGGAGTACGGCAGAAGAAACAAGACAGCTTTCAGGATCCAAATAGAGAAAGGTAAGAGGCTCTAGAACAGATTCTTTGAACTGTAAGTTCAAATTGGAAAGAATAGGACTGCAGGTTTTAGTTTTTTAATCATAATGAAATATTCATCATGTCATTACAAGAGGTAAGACCTTATAAGAAATATTCTGTAACTCAGAGAAAACAAATAATGAGACACATGGTCTCCGCTGCTCTCTGTATAGACCAGTACCTTACAGTTTTATGATCAAACTCTTCTTTTGGATAATGTAGTGTGATCCGATCTGTCTTTTCCATCTATGTCTCCTAGTGTATGAAGCAATCATGAAGGAATCTGGGCTGAATTATCTGGAGAGCAAGCACTTGTCTAAGAGAGCCAAGCACAGCCGCAACGACAATGGGTAAAGCATCCCTGCTTACCAGCAAAACTATAGCTGTTTTCAGACATGAACTCCGGAGAATGTCCACACAAGTGGGTCCGGACTCTCTCCAGAGTTTGCCTTTCACACATGAACAACAAAGCGTAACGTGTTAATTCCTCTGCAGAGATCACATGTTTTTGTTTACAGCACATCGACACCGATGTTGCCAAAACTCTGTGGACATCTTCAGTGGTATTTTCCTGAGATATTTGTATTGTTTTGGTTTTTTTTTTTTTTCATGTTAGCGTTTGTTGCATGTTAGATGCTTACCCAACACACTCACTCGCAGTGAATCCTCAGATGGATCTCCATCTGAATTCTTACATAGTCTCTCTCTGACATTCTCCTGAGTTTTATCAGGTGGCTGACAGAAGAAACTGTGGAGAAAGTCCAGAACCCCTCACTTGGACATTTGCTTTCTCACATTTAGCCCCTCTGGAGAATGTCAGGATATTCTCTGGAGTTCAGTGCAGGTCTGAAAGCAGCTCATGTCCTTGACCTCAGGTGTTTAACCAGTCCTCTCTCCTGTGCTGGTTCTGTCCCTTTAAATACACAACTAATGCTTTACAAATGTGTGTGTTCACAGTGAAGGCAGCAGCAGCAGCTCAGCGGAGTCATCTGACACTGAACATATTCAGGAAAACACTGTAAGAATTAATGTGAAGGTTAGATCACCTCCGAATTTGGTCTGATTGATCCAATCTCAAATGTATTCTCAACATGTGTTGGGTGTGTTCATGCTAGTGCTTAGAGCTAACCATTTGTGATTGGATCACTCAGTACAGATGTCCGGTGTGAACAGGGCCTCAGCTCCACCAACCCTGCACAAAGCGTTAAATACAGAATTTAAATCTGAGTCAGGTTCTGGATTTTCTTTTGAATACACACAATGATTAAACTAAAGGGAAGTACGATTCTGTCTGTAAATAAGACAAAATTGCCAGAACTTTCACAAATTAATTTCAGATTATTTTTGCTGCTTAATTTAGTTTAATGCAAGTTAAATAAAAAATATTTTGGCAATTAGAACACTAACGAAATCTAACTCTTGCGCTTGAATTTCCGGGTCTTGATAGAGGTAGACTTGCAGTTAACTTCTCCTCCTAGTTTTCGTGACTCAGGCTTAACACATCTTGGACCTATCCATGCACTGAGATAAAATGCATATCCAGTCATCTGACTCAGGGATAGATGGAAAACATGCACATTTCCCAATTGTTGGACTGTTGTTGGCACAGCACCTTTTGACAATGAGCTCTAACTGTTCCATACTACTCCTTTTTGCTGTCCACAGCCCATCAACCACATGAACAGCTCTGTTACATCTCTGTATCGGAAGGGAAACCCTGACTCCATTACCTGCTCACCCAGGAGAGATCAGCCTTCTGCAAGCAGTGATGTCAGCACAGCCACCCCCCCTCCCAGTGCAGGCACTGTGGTTTCCACAGGAGGCTGGTTCATTGATAAAGGGAGGGGCCCAGAGAAAAGCAACATCCTCATTGACCTGTGTGATGAGGAGCCAAAAAGTGGAGCAACAAATGTATGTACCCAAAGAGAGAAAGTCTGTGTACTTATATCGAGGATCTTCAGACAGTTCTAAATAAGTGTTAACTATGTTCTTGTCATCAGCTCTTAGAAATGTCACAAAAATATTAGTTTTTTAGATTGTATCATCTTGAATTCCTTTCTTGAACATCTGAATGTAAACATAGTAAGCTGTTATTTTGCATGGGAAGAAATCTCAGAGGCTCAACTGCTGTGTGCTTTTGTCACCAGCAGACAGACGTGTCCATGCTGGAGCCTGAGAAATCTCACAGGAAGTCTAAAAAAAGGGCAAAGAGCTCAACTGAGACAGCCGAGCCTCAAACCTTGGCCAAAAAAGGTAAAGTTGTCTTGTGTAACTATAAAATATTCTTAACGTAGTATTAAACACCACAATAAAACTGAATCTTTAGTAGCTTTGAATGGAAAGGCCACATTGAAGGACTGCTTATTCGAAGGATGTCTTCGATGGTTTTGTCATAAGGAAATATGTTCTCAATTCACCTAAGATGACTTTGTCTGTAACATTAGATTTTTTAAACATCCGCCCTTACATCCAATTCTAGTGAACACAATATCTCAACAACACCTTGAGGGAATTTCAATTTAACTGTCACGTTGCCTCAAAGTTGAACTTGGACACAAGTGAAGGTCACGGTGACCTCATATGAGTCTGAAACTCATAACTGAAACTGCGCTGGTTGGCAGAGTCTTATAACCATAGGGCAGTAATTTTAGTTTTTCTGATGATTTTTTTCCCCCAGCTAAATCCAAGTTACCTGAGCTGCAGTATCCGACTCTGAAGTTTGACGATGTAGGAGGTAATGAAGACACATTAACGGTTAGTAACCTTCAATCTTCCTGCTTAGTTTGTAGGTAAAGGCAGAGGTTTTTAAAGCCTGCAAATCATAATATCACTTGAGCACCATCAGGTATCAGTTCTGACTAGTTCTAATGTAAACAATAACAGTGTAAAGAAGTTAGTCATTATTAATGATAGCAGCAACAATTTATATAATAATTAATTACTAATAAGTATTGTTGTTGTAATAATAATAATAGTTCTCCTGCAGTTCTGGAGTCAGAGATATCTGCAATGAGAGAGAGAAAGACAGAGAGGGACTATGGGAGAAAAAAGAAACATAGTTATTGACATGTATTAAAATAAACAGCAACAAATCGCTATATGCAGGCGGACACATCAGCTCTTATAACCACAAGCTCTCTTGACGTCTGTGTCTTCTACATGTGTCAGTGCTTTTTCACCAGGAGATATCCCTTTTTCTATTCAATTGAATTCAGAAGTGTTTTTGCATGAATTATGCACTTGTAATTTTCACTTTATTATTTCATTACTGCAGGAGGTGTGTAAGCTGCTGATCCACATGCGTCACCCAGAGGTGTACCAACATCTGGGAATGGTTCCTCCAAGGGGCTTCCTCCTCCATGGACCTCCTGGTTGTGGAAAGACATTGCTAGCCCAGGCTGTGGCTGGTGTAAGTACTGTTCCTCTGTGCAGCTTTATTCAGCAACACAATGAGTAGGCATGAACCTGTGATAACACATAATTGACTGATTCTTTGTTACCTAGATTTGGTTGGTTATTTGGATTTGTATAGCCCATATTCACCAATCACAAATTGTCTCATCGGGCTTAACAATGTGCCACTGCCTCTGTCCTTAAATGGTTTGGTTTTGTATTTATATAGCGCTTTTTTAACCCATTCACACAAACATTCATAAGGTGCATCTATTAGCAGCAGTTTTTGTTCTACGAGGGGCAAACTACCAAAAAACAGGGGGAAAAAATGTGGAAACCTCAGAGAGAGCCACATGTGAGGGATCCCTTTCCCAGGACGGACAAAAGTGCAATAAATGCCTTGTGTAGCTGAACACATCAAAAAATTTACAATATTTACAACATTGATTAGAAGAAACATTTTTTAGCATAATGGAAAGGTCTGTAAATATTTATCTATCAGTCAATTTTATTTGTATGGCCTATATTCACAAATCACAATTTGACTCATAGGGCTCAAATGGTCTGTATTTATATAGAAAGGACACTTTGGCATGCAGACTAGGGAAGAGTGGGATCAAACTACCGACCTTCTGGTTAGAGTACGACTGCTCTAACCCCTCAGCCACAGCCACCCTTAAATGGATATTTTGAAAAATCAAAATTCACTCATTATCTACTCACCACTGTGCCGATGGAGGGTTGGTTGAAGTGTTTGAGTCCAAAAAACACTTAAGGAGTTTTTGGGGTAAACAGAATTACAGCCAAACCCAATGCAATTGAAGTAAATCATGACCACTTCTTCAAATGTAAATAACAATAGAAAAAAAGATAAAATGTCTCCATACTGCTCCTGTGATGTCATCCAAGTGTCCATAAGCCCTGCTATTCAAATTCACCTCGAAACGCGTTATTTACAGCATGTTTTTAGCCTAAAAGTCATCTGATATCCCCCTCTAGAGCTGCATTTACGTTTGCAAACACACACCGCCTACAGACTCTCCCCCAAGGGTACGTGCAGGGTGTGCGGTAGCATCGCTACGATCAGCTGCCGCCATGATCACAATCACAATCTCTGATTAGCCATCCAACATCATGATCCATCAGTCAAAGTGTTGTGGTGTATTTGTAGGATGAAGAGCACAGTATGCATCATGTTGAATGAAGAAGCTAAGGAGGAGGAGTGAGGAGATGTGTTGCATATTAACTGAGATTTGCTGTTTGCTTCATGTTTATTACCATTGCATCACAGTAAGAAGGGTATCGGAAAAGCTTGTGTGTATTTTGTGTGCTTGTTTGATGAAGTGATGTGATTGTGTTTTTCAGGAGCTGCAGCTGCCCTTGCTAAAGGTGTCTGCTCCGGAGCTGGTGTCTGGAGTGTCCGGAGAATCTGAACAGAAACTCAGAGAGCTGTTCGACTTGGCTGTGGTCAGTAGTGCTCTTCATCTATTCAGCATTCTAGAGGTCTCAACAAAACAGTAGCGACTAGAGGAGGTGAAGCAAGCACAGGGACTGGTATTGCTGTTTCAGTAGAAGTGGTATTACTGATTTGACAAATCATGTTGACCATCTCCTACCCTCTGAACATCATTGGCTCTTTTCTCCCTTGCAGAGCTCCTCTCCATGCATCCTGTTCATAGATGAAATAGACGCCATCACCCCTAAGAGAGAGGTGGCCTCTAAAGACATGGAGAGGAGGATTGTAGCCCAGCTGCTAACATGCATGGATGGTATGCTACACTGCCGTCACAGTCACATGAAGAAGTGTCTCGATACTGCCACTTGTTATCATATTATTAACTAGTAACCATGTTAAATATATCAGTTACTGCGAGAGGACATTGACTAATCAGCAGAGGTCATACTGATGGACCAAACAGAGCAACCATTTGTTTGTGAGAGAAAAACGAGAGAATAACATTTAAAGTCTTAGATTCCTTCTCTTCTGGATCGTAGCTGAACATAGGTTGTCAGTTGGTCTAAATATACTTTTGGACATTTTAAATAACCTTTCCATGAAATTAGTTTTAAGATTAGATTTTAATTAATATATGGAACTTGTGTGATAAAGTTTCTCTATGGGACTTTAATTATTGACTCTGTAAAATGTTCTCTCACATTCATTATCTTTATCTCATCAACTGTATGTTTCCCCAGTGCAGATCTTAGTTGTACTGTAACACAGAGTCGTTCCACTTACAGTCTCACTCTCACTTAGGCCAAATCTGATACCACTAATGAAATGATTGAGGATATGACATATTACTGTTGCTTGTGTTCTGGCAGACTTGAACAGTCTGACCGTGACAGCTCAGATCCTGGTCATCGGCGCCACCAACAGGCCAGACTCCCTGGACCCTGCCCTCCGCAGAGCTGGACGCTTTGATAGAGAGATCTGCCTGGGGATCCCTGATGAAGCAGCTCGTCTCAGGTCAGCCATAGATTATCATAGAGAAAGGCATCATGATGGTAAATATTGCCCTTGTGGTAATTAATCAATAGATTCAGTTAGGGAGGGGCCTGACTAGAACATGAGGAAGCAGGGTTATATTTACATTTGTACAAATATTATCCACCTCAGTGTTAATGCTAACTAGTTGTCAGCATGTTTATTTTGGAATCAAGAGCACAATGAGTATGAGGTGGACTGCAGATTCCTAAGGGCAAGTAGTACAATTGTAACATTGGGTTTTCCGCAATGTTAACCAAACCAAATATATGAATGAATAGAATCAAGGGACTTAAAGAAAGATTTAGAGATGAAAAGCGAGACCACTAAAAATGGTACGAAGGTGTTTGTTTTGTTGCTGCATTCTTTATATCAAGCTGAATTGTAGAGCTTTTACTTTGAAAAGTTGTGAAGTTAGGTCTGAAGATTTTGTCGATTGCTTAACAGACCTCTGAAATAGCTGACATTAAAGAGAATTTTTCTCTCCAGAGTCACCAAAGTGCTGCTCATTGTGGGAGCTGTTGGGTTTCTCTGTACTAATACAATTTTAAGGTCTTGACCTTCTATGTGAAGTGCCTTGAGATAATGTTTATTATGAGTTGGCGCTATCCAAATAAAATTGAATTGAATTGAATTTCTCTCAGCGATGATAACATCATTAATGTAACTTTTGAGGTTGTTCTAGGTGGCATTA